TAAAAACCTTATAAACAACAAAATTAACTATTTGATTAGATAGTGAATTAAAAAATGTCATGATAAAAATAAATAAATAATCAAAACAATTACGAAAAAAGAAGAAAAAGAAAACTGTAATAAAGGAATAGTTAAAATATGTAGGTAAAATATTTTTAAAAAAATAAGTTAAAGATTAAAAAAAAACTAACCTAAATCATCCCTAAAATTCCTTACCCACTTACCTAACTACCCTAATCTCTTAAAATTCAACTCTCTCTCTATATATATATATATATTAATATATTAATCTTCTAAATATACAACAGGACAGACAAAAGAAATGTTTCAAATCAGTATTTTGTAAATAAAAAAAATATGTCATCAACAAAAATGTTTTCGAGTTATCATTTTTTAAAAAGAATAAATTGAAAATATTATAAATCTATAGTTTACAAAATAGTGTCACATGTCATCATTAAAATAATTCTCGAATTTTCAGTATTTTTTTTTAAAATTATCTCCAAGAAAATTATAATTTTAATTTGATATATAATTATGTTAAAATTTGTCACATAAAACCGCGAAAACCAAAAACCTAATAGTTATATATTATTAAAAAAATTCAGACTTTTAAAAAAGAAAAAAATATTAATTAAAAAAACTAAGAAATTACAAATCAACTAAATGCACGTAGTCTATTCTCTCATTTCTCTCCCACTTCATGTAAACTTTATTTATTAATTAATTTGTAGATTTTTAAATCTTTAAACTTATCAATAAAATAAAAAAATTAACTTCTTTTTTTGTTATATAAAGATAAGATGAGTGCTAAAAAGGTTGCAACATGCTTTGTAAATTATATTTAGATTTTAGCTAAAAGTAGAGACAAAATTTTTAATACTATATTTTAAATTGATTTATGAATTTGTAAATTTAATTAATTAGCACAAATTTCAATTGAGCACACACCAGATATGCTATATATTCATCTTCATTATACTAGAAGAAAGAGAATTTGTTAAAATAACGTTTATTGTCTTTGAAGAACATATATTTATAGCACATAAATTAGTGTAAAATTTTGTTAGCATTAATTGTATATATAAAATTAAAACGCTATTTTTTTTATTATACATGCACTTTTTTTACTCAATAATAATTTGTTTTAGTTATTTCTAAATTTAAAAAATATTATATTTTAAATACCCGCGCAACGCGCGGGTACGTATACTAGTATCTATAATAGGAGAGGTGATAACGCCTACGTGTCAGCGCCACAATTAATCTCTAATTTTAATTTTTAAATTATAAACTAATTAAATAGAATTAATTTAATTTTTTTATTAAAGGAAAAACAGTTACTGTTTTAGAAGACAAATTAGAATTTTTTTTTTTTTTTAAAAAAAAATGTTATATTTTAACATACACGTTAGATTCCTTTTTGAGTTTTATGAAAATAATTAAATATATTTAATTAAAAAATTAAATTATATCAGGGCCACAAAATTTATGTCAGAAAAGGAAAAAACTAATAAATGGCATCAAACTACATTATATCAAGTGAGATTATTTTTTATTTATTTAAATTGAAAAGATTACAGGTAATATTTTAATTGTTCCTTATAATTAACTATGTAAATTATAAGTTGTTTCTTCCCAAAAAATTACATTATAGGTAAATCTAATTGGTAACAATTAAAATATTGCCTATAACTATATAAAAAAAAATATAAATAACATTTACATCAGTTTAAAAATATTACATATCATAAGTTTTAATTCTATGTAAAGCTTCTCACGTTTTATATAGATAACTATCCCAATAATGTTGCTAAAATTTAGGAATTACAATTTATGTTTATGTTTATATTCACATAAATTTAAAACACAAATCAATTTAGCCTATTTTTCTGTAACTATATTTCCAAAAAATATCTAGCAGATAATTGCATTTACAAATAATGATGCTATAATTTAGGGATTAAAATATATTGCATGTACAAATAATGATGCTATAGTATAGGAATTAAAATATAAAATTAAATATATAATAGGAGGTTTTTTGAGTGAAAGTTGGGAAGTTTAAATAAAAAGATTTGTCAATTAAATTTGTGTTTTTTCCAAGAGTATTATACTAATTATCATTAAAATAAAAAATTAAATAGTAAATATTAATTAAAAATCTACATGCATCACAAAAAACCACGTGTCAGTTTTAGGATAAAATTAGTTGTCATTGTAATTTTAAGTTATTGGTATTATTAAGTGCATAATACATTTTATTGGTTATTTTTAAATATAAAATTATCATATTTTAAATTATCCGTGCAATGCGCGGGCACATATACTAGTATATATAATAGAAAAGTGATAGCGCCTACGTGTTAGCACCACAAAAAACAGGTTTTTCTTTAAATAATTAAAAATTATTAATTACATGTAATAGAGTTAAATAATAAATTACTATTTAATATTTACAATTATTTTTAAATAGTTTTAAAATTTAAACGTGTGTGATACTTTTTTTGAAAAAATATTTTTAACTATCTTTCCACAACCTCCTTATTTATAGCAAAACAATGACAATATTAATCATAATATTTATAATAATAATACCAATAATAATAATAATAATAATAAAAATAATCTTAATTATTAAATTAACTAAATAAATTTAAAATCCGAAAATAAAAAATAAAAAATAAAAATTACAAATATAAAAGGAAGAAAAATGAAAACACATAAGATTTTTAAAAAAAACATAGAAGTAACCAACTTAACTTTTTTTTTGGAAATATTTTTAACTATCTTTCCACAACCTCCTTATTTTTAGAAAAACAAATATTCATATATATATATATATATATATATATATATTATAAACATATTTGTTTTATAGTGAATGTCTATTATGTGGAGTCCTTTTAGGGGTAGTTAGGAATCCTACTTGGGAGCAAGTTAAGTTTCCCCTGTAAATAAAGGAATTTTCCTTCATTGTAAATCAGATTTGTGAATCCCTAAATATCATTTAAGAAGAATAAGAAGTCTTCTCCCTACTTTGTTCTTTTTCTAAATTTGTAATAGATCAATGTTATAAATTAGAGTCACATAGAAAGCAAGAGACGGACAGGTAATTGTTTATCACGTCAGTTGATACACAATATTATTAATGGTTAGTATGCCACAAAGTCTTCGGATAGTAGTGCAATATTATTCCAATAAATAAATAAATATATATATTTCTAACCACCAATATTGCTTGAGTTATGTTAATACTTCATACTAGAAAGGTTCCCTCTTTTCTATTAGTTGGTTGGTTCATCGATTTTAAAAAGGTATGGTTTCCAACTTTTTATGAGGTCTTGGTATTAGTACGTTATGATATGCGGCAAAAGATGGAGATGACCAATAAAAGTTATAAAATTTAAGCTTTCTGCTTTTTCTTAATTTAATAATTTTATCAATAATTGCTAAATTACTATGTATGATATTCACCAGCTATTTTGTTGCACTTTATTACTCTATTATGCTATTGATTGAAAGTAAGATGATGGATTCATATTCAATCACATCTCTAACATGTGTTTTGCATTTATATATTCAAAATACTCTTGTATTCTGATCATTTTTATTTCATGTATTGCTACAATCAATTTTATTGATTTTAGGCTTACAGACATGAAAGCCTTTTTTAAATCTTTTATGGACTTGTTCATGTTATATAGAGCTATGCGATGTTTCCATGCTCTTCTTCTTACTAAATGTAAGTGATATTGGATATGTTTCATTTCGGTGTTGCATTTACATTTGAGAAACCAATTAGGTTGTTACTGCAGATGTTTGGGGTTAAGCAGTGTGTAAAAGAAGATTTTAGTGGTGGATCGTTGATACGATATTAATGAGTTAAGTTGAGAAGTGTATCCTGAGGGTTCTAAATGAGGACTGGTGATTTCATCTTAAGGTCCAAGGGAATGGATAGATACCAGAATGACAAGCTTATGGGTAAAGGAAGTCTCAAAGAGTATACTTGTGTGAAGGTAAATGAAAATTTTAGTAAAAAGTTCATATAAAATGAGTTAGTCCTTTAATTGGTATAACTGGGTTTAAAATGTCATACTGATGAAATGGTTGTCTTTGTGGTAATGACGACTTGCGGGTATCTAATGTTATGATTTGCTACTATTTGATGAGTAACGTGGTTGCATGGAAAGTTATAGGAGGTGCTGAGACACCACTCGATTATAATTTAAATGAACCAGAGTCACGAATGAAAAGAATTAGTGGGATGTTTTAGTCATTGGAAAAAGGCAATCGAGAACAAAGATATTTACTCTAATCGCAAAGGACAAAGATATATCTTTAGAGAGTTGAGAATCGGGTTCAGAGATACGTGATTCTATATAGTTTGCTCTTATTATGGTAATAGTGTCACGGGTTCATCAGATTGGTTAAAAACAATTGGGTAAGATTTGAGAAAGAAGTCTACACATGTTTGACTCGAGTGTGGTGATAAGTTCTTTTACGATTTTGAGTTTGGTAACTGGTACAGTTGAATTTTAACGAAGGATATGGTAAGATCGATGGAGAGGCAATCAATTATAGGCTATAAGATATGTGAATCCATAAAAATCTTCAAGGTATGAGTTAATGTTGATAGATAAAGAGATTGGGTTACACAGTTGGATTCAAAACTCAAATTTTTCATGGTGAGTTTAGGTTTGTGGTAGTGTGTTTTTCAAGGTATGTGTTGGTAAGGTAAGAAATGATCGATCACATTGAGTATGAAGCACTTGAAAGTACTTAAAAATAATTTGAGCAGTAAATTTGGTTACTTTTGATTGTTATACCTAAGGAAGGGTGGAATTGTATCTTGTAAATTATATATATACTAGATATGAATTGCCCGTGCTATGCACGGACCCAACGTGTATCATTTTGAAAGAACAATTACTGACTTCTCTTTTGTAGTTTGATTATCATAAACAAATATTGTTGCCATACAATAAAAGGGCATAAGCTATAATAATATTGTCAAACTATTTTTATAAATACATAAAGTTTCTGAAGTACAAATGCCACTATAAATACGTCATTAGAATTTCTCTTATGAGCACTTGCAAGAGAGTGAGCTGCAAATCAAAAATTTATATAAGCTATATTATAAAGTCATACTCAGCAGTCATACACACCAGTCATAAGATGATATTCATTTGTTGAAATAGCTCATAGATTTCAGTGATAGTTCGATTTGGTATTTGCTTAGCCCATACTACAAAGTGACATCCTGATAGAGGAGTGTATGAATTCATTGCCAGATGAAAATCAGAATTGTTTCAATTTTCATTTGTACTACAATAAAACACATGTACATTAAGGCCTATGCGCAGAAGTGTAATAATATTTTGAAAAATAACATAAATGTACTGAAATTTTTAAAATTACTAAAAGTTCAAAAAGCTTTTCAAAATAGAAGTACCTTCATGACCGAAGCGAGAACTTATGAATGACTTGTTTTCACATTAGCTTCTCTAGTTCTTTCTTCCAACTCTTTCCTCTCCAACTAATAGTCAAAACTATGAATTTGTATCATTGTGCTACAAGATACAAGATATTTCTTTCGCTTAAGCCTTCTCTTATCAATAGTAATTATTCTTGCAGCACAAATATATACTCAAGCACCTATTATATATTCAAAGTAAACATAAAAAGCTTAACGGAGGAAAAGCATTCACCTTGAAACCTCGTTCGTTTACTTTCTTGTAATTGTAAGCATAATAGACAAGCTGACATTTTCTTACTGTCTCTACAATGCAACGACTCTTTGGTAGACAAAATCTTCCAATTAAGGAAACTTCAATTGGCCAAACAAAATTGTCCTGGAAAATTGTCTTGTTCTTCTCCACAACTAAATGCCTTCACGATCAAATAAAAATATTTTCAATCAAAATAACGTACACTCCTCGAGAACTCAAAATTTTCACTATCACAATTCATAGTGAGCATTCACTGAACTGTCTTCCTTTTCCAATAAATTTGTCCAAAATTCAAATACCCATAAACAAAAAAACTATATTGGCATTTTAGTAGTTGTGACAATCTTAGGTGATGAGATAGTGAAAGAAGAAAATTTTAATTAATATAGCCCTTCCTTTTTCAAACTGCTTTGAATTTTTTATTTTTTTATTAAGTCGATGTTCTATCAGAATCAACCTCTACTACAATCTATAGCTTATATTTGGTAGAACTATAGTGCAAGAAAAAGGCTCTGATTGTCAAATGTATCACCAAAAGATGAGGACTTAAAATAACAAAAGAATCACATGTTCCAAACTATCAAATTATTTAGTACGCCAAACATTGATCGATGCCAGATCTCTTAATTTCTTTAGTTGGCATGGTGATAAAATATAAATGAAATTGGTCCTTCATGAAAGCTGGAAGAGAAGACGACAAATAGAAGAAGAAGAGATCCAAAGAAGAATTAGAAAAGCTGTGTCGGAGAGTAACAAGTTCCAAATGACGTTTTAAGATAATCAAGTAAGGAAATTTATCTCTTGTGGTGGCCACCAGTAATGACATGTCCCATGCTCAAACAAACTTTAGATTAAGCTAGCATTTGATCAAAATCTTATCTTCAATTTTAGAGGCATAGTTAATAAAAACTTATTACACAAAACAACAGAAAAAGGGTATGTCTACTACATACCAATTGTTTGCTTGGTACTATCATGTGATGTATTTACTTCTTCAAAGGTTTGAAAATCTTTCAAACGTGTCATTAGAAAGCCGACAATCTTAACATTCTTGAAATTGGATAATAATGTTTGGAATTCAACTCGGCAAAATGAAATTATCTACTTTGGTGAAATATCTTAGCTCAAGCTGGCAAGGGGTTCGTAGAACTAGAATTTGATGTGTATGTTGAGTGACTCTAAAAGAGGCGAGGTTCGCAAAAGGCTAACTACTCCATACATACTATACTTTGTTACATGCATTTATAGAGTTAGACATTTGCGTCTCAATTCTGAAAGCATCACCCCGTCAAGTTTTTGATAACTTAGAATGGAGATGTTGAAGTTATGAACTATATTTGTATGTATAGTTCACTGAGCAAAAAAGAAAAATCTCAATCTTTTGTAGGAAACTTTCATGACCTCCACACATCAACAAGTATAAGTGTATATTATTTAGTACGTATTAAATAAGTTGCTTGTAAAGTTTTAAAATATTGTAAGGTCAAGATCCAAAATTATGTATTTAGAGTTCTTTACACACCCATGGATATAAAAATCATTTATATGCAACCATAAGAAACGTAAAAGAGAAAGAGGAGTTAGGATGAGAAAATTGTACCAATATCTTAATACATGAATCATCTATCGATGTTCAATTAAGGAAAACTAATCACCCTGGTGACAGTATACTTATGCTATTATTAGGTTCTTAAAAGAACAGTAAGATTTATTATATTTGAAAAATATAAACAGAATTGAAAGATTCGTTGAGTTGATTGACCTTACCTTTTGCCTCTTAGGATTTTTTTCTTCAAATCTTCAACTCAATTCTTTGATAGTCTTGTGCTGAATTTTGAAGTTGAGAGTAGAAAATGAATGCTAGAGAAATAAAATAATTGTCCTCCAAACCTTAACTCCAATCATGAATCAAATGAGTTAGAGATCTACAATAGGCATAGAAACTCTCAATGAACTTGAGAATGAGTCGACATAAAAATTAGTTCAAGAACTCAAGTATTAACACAGTATACCTCCACAAATAAGTGCAAATGATGAAAATAGAAAAACTTGACAGGAGATGGAAACGAAAAGTGATTTTTTTTGTGGCTGAAAAAAAAAGAACAATCAGATTGGATATGAACAAAATATGAACACACATAATTTAAAATTTGAAAAGAATTCTAAAACAAGTGAAATTACAATCATAATATGTTTTCACTAAGAGCTCAATTCAACCTGAGCAACCATGAAATTCAGCTCCAAAAATGAAAAATTCAAAGAGAACTTAAAAAGACGAAATAAATAATAAAAAAAAAAAGGCAGAAAATGAAAGGAAAAAATCAAACAGAACGTTTAGTGAACGAAATTAAGAGGAGAATACCCGACTTGTAAGAAGTTGAACGTATGAAGAAAAGTGAGTATTTTTTGATATTCTGAAAGTTCCTGGAATCAAAGAGACGTCTCTGGTCTCTGTTCAAGTAAGCCATAGAGAATGGATACTTGTAGGTATAATACCTCGATCGTTCTTGGCTTCACTCTCTCGAGAGGGTACTCTTTGGTGATGTTTGGATTCATGATTGGAGTTAGGAATTGGAGAAATTTGTGAAGAAAAAAAAGGAAGTTGTATGATTGTCGCTATGGTAAGACACGATGGACATGAAATACCAAAAAGAGTTTATATTTTTGGAGAAGAAAAGGTTTAAGAAGATCACTGAAACTTTGCCTAGAAAGTGACAGACGAACAATTTGGAATTAAAAAAAGAAAAGGTTCGTGGTTTGCTAAAAAAATCTCATTCATAGTTATCATTTTACCCTTAAATAAAAAATTCCCCCAAATAACAACAAATTAGCAAAATGATGCACTCTAATTTAGATTTTTCATGGGAAAAAAAAACTTTATCTCCATTTAGGTAAAGGATGTACTCTAATTTAGATTTTTCATGAACAAAAAATAAACTTTATCTCCATTTAAGTTTTCACTTTTCTAAATCTCAAATCAAGAAACTATGGTAATTGAACAAATAAAGCAAGAAGAAGCGGCTACATATGGATGTTTCTATATTTTTCATTTTATTACTAAATCTTGAATTGGGCAAACCTGAACTTTGAATAAAGAAAAAAGTTTTTTGAGATGAACCGAAGGAAAAAACAAATGAAGAATTGGGCAAACATGAAGTGTAATCCGTTGTGAAGAGTAAGAGACCATTTTTGAGAGCTGGGCCTGAGGTTGAGAGTAAGAAAAGAGAGAACAGAGGTATGGATGTTTCTAGTCTAGTCAAGATATGTCCTTGTCTGAGTTGCTCAGTAGATTTTTTTCAATCGTGTGAAATTACTACTCTACCCTTGATCGTCACATCTTCACATTCCTATATAATAGAAATTATAGAATAGGTACAAAAATATAATGGGCAACGTATCATATGCAGTGGTTGACCAATGGTGACTATAACTTATATATGATTAGTCAATTACTATTGATTATATATAATTAATTTACAATCAAATTTTGGGGATGTTTTTGAGTTTATTATAAAATTTCCGTATTTTATTGTAATGGTTGGGTTTTAGACTGACTTGTCTTGGTGGGATAAGATGAGTGTCATCACGTCCATTTTTGGGTCATGACATATATATATATACTAGATTTTCGTCACGTGTGTTGCACGTGATTATCAATTCATAAAATTTAAGCGGAGATTTGAATAATAAGCTTTGAACAAAATAATATTGCAGAATTTTTTGTAAATGTTCAACGTCGATCGTCATATATATCTCTTATTCATACGAACCTATGAAGATGGTCAATGAAAAATTTATTAGTTAAATGCAATAATGTATATATTTATTTAAATTTGATGAGGTTCAATTATGTAATTAGTCGTATCTCACTAATATTACCTTATACATGAGATTTGTTGTGTATTTTTCTTGTCATCTAATCATATGTGTTTTGCACGTGTCTTCCTCTTAATCTATTTAGATGTCATATGAACATGTGGAGACCAAGTACATTTCATTTTTTAGAACTATTTTTGTATATTAATTTTTATTTTATAAGTTATAACATAATAGATGATGTTTTTCTTGTTGGCTCTCATATTTGAGTTCTCGATTGTCTGTGTACATAAATGAAAAATAGTTATCTAACTGTCCATAGTTAACTGAGAAAGGTTTTCTTTCTTTTTTTACCGAAAAAATTAAAAATTAAAATTAAAGAATATATTCTATATGTGAAATCATATATATAATCACCTATTTATCATACACCTAACAAAGATATAGTTCATATGCTTGTAAATAATTTTCAATTTATTCAACCAAGCATGATTCGTCCAAGGAAAAATAACAACACCGTGTTATCACATATATAGGGGCGGTATAATAATATGAAAAATTATTGGTCAAAAATTAATATAAGGAAAGATGAAAGATAGAAATAATTATTGTAATAACTATGAGAATTCATAATATTTTAAATAAAGAATGTAGAAGAGTGTGAATAACATTTGCGGTAATTAGTAATAACTAAGAGAATTTATAATGTTATAACTAAAGAATTAATGTGCAATAGATGAGCGTTATTAGAAGTCATATGAATTTTTCTTCGTTGAAAATACTGAAATATTAAAACAAAGTAAATTAGTAAAACAAAAAGGCAATATTTACATAGTAATAACAATTTTTAAGCAAACTTCTTGATAATCTAAATCACATAAGGAGCATTGATAAATAAAGTCATTCTTTTGTCTTGAGCATCAAAAAAACAAATCGTGATAATTCTCTAACTCATGAGAAGTTTAATAATTTTGGAAAAAGATATTACGAAATGTTTATCTACATCACAAGAGAAATTTTTAACAAAAACAAATGAATTTAGACTACAATAATAGTTAAACGAATACAAACTTCCACTGGTGTTATTACAAGTCATATGAAATTTTCTTCTTCGAAAACACTGAAATATTAAGAAATAGTAAATCAGCAAAACAAAAGAGCAATGTTTATTTAGTAATAACTATTTTGAAGCAAACTTTCTGACAATCTAAATCACATAAGTAGCATTGATAAATAAATTCATTGTTTTGTCTTGGGCATCAAAAAAACAAATTGTGACTATTCTCTAACTCTTGAGAAGTTTAATAATTATGGAAAAAGATATTTAAAGACATATATCTACATCACAAGAGAAATTGTAAACAAAAACAAATGAATTTAGACTACAATAAAAATTAAACTAATGCAAACTTCAACAAACTTTCATTGGTATTATTACAAGTCATATGAAATTTTCTTCTTCAAAAATACTGAAATATTAAGAAATGATAAATTAGTAAAACAAAAGGGCAATGTTTA